GCAAGTTTTGTGTGTAAGCTTTGATTACCAACCTGGCTTAGTGTCTTGTGAATGGGACGGACTAGAATCTGAGAAAAGAAGTATCAAATGTAATTGTTTTCTTTAATTCTGCGATATTTATCCCAGCATGTTGTAAAATCCATTAGGTTACCATATGTAGGTTAGTCAGAGGTTTCATTGACAAGGAACCTAGCGCAGAGATAGCGTAAATGCTGGTTTGGCATTTAATTCAGGTGTAATCTTGCACTAACTCGTTTATTGGTTGTGTTACCTTTCTTCGCCTTCCACCTTGGGTTGTTCGCATTGTGATCTCTTCCAAAAAACTCTGTTGCAATGAAAATATCAATCAATACTGTGAATTGGAAAGCTGTTAGCCTGTGTGCAGGCGTTCCTCGTTTTCTTCGCTCCGCCCTTAACGAGGAACGCCTGCACGCAGGCTAGAAAGCTGCGTATGAACTAATTTACGCAAGCCGCTAACCATAAAAATAACTTATCTAATCCTATCCTTAGTAATTGAGTGGTCAACAAGATTGTCTACATTGACAATAAGTCCAGAAATTTAATTATTGACCCTGCAACCAATCAACTGGCTAACCGAACAATCARCAGTAACTTATTCACCAACCWACTAAAAAAWATTGGCAATGAAAAACAGAAAAGAAAGAATATAATTCACCGTCATCATGGTCACTCCATTTCCGTCCTTGCCTTTCACCGAAATCTGGATAAAATAAAAGTACACTAGTCAGGTAAAAAGGATCTTGAAATGAAGACGTAATATTGCTTTTTCCATAATCAATTTGCTCCAGAAGATGACATCAATTATAACAATTATAAAATATCCCGACCTTGTGCTTACCGTCATCAGAGGATGTTATGGTGCGAATCTCACGAACAGTCCGAACGCCACCGGGACCTTTGATAAGATATATCATATGAGTATCGGTCAAACCTATTGGTAGACGATTTCCAGAGATTTTATAGGATGAGTCTGTGTGTTTTTCAAATATTTCCAGTGAGATAAATATGTAAAGAAAAATTATTGAGTACTATCACACTACTGAGTCGTGTGATCTGTGCTTACTGCGATCTCCTCCTGAAGTGTAGGTCTTTGTAATAACAGTTTTACTGCCTGGCCCATCGTTATAAGTCACCTGAGAAATAAAACAGCTAAATTACAATGATTGCAACAGTCATCGTTTATCGCTGAAAAATTTGACTAAAGCATTCGAACATTGAGAGCAGAGATAGCACATCTCCATTCCAAGTTACTGCTATAAGAAGAATTAATTGATATACCGTTTGGGTTTCGCTGCGACCTCCACGRTTTCTGTCAATTTTCAAATCCTCAAAATCTTTAAAGAAATCGTCCCGATTGTTTCTCCTGTCTCCTTCAAACCTTTCATGATCGCGTCTTCTTTCATACGAATGCTCTGATMGTGTTGGTTCTAACCCTTGGCTTCTCTTTCCTGGATCAGATTTCTATAAATATAAAATAAACAGAATATAGCAGTAAAGAAGTTAATACAATTTAATAGTTTTGATAACTAACAAAAGGAACTGAGCAAAAAAGAGGAAACATAGGAAATTGSTAAAACATGCAAAGACAATATGAGAAAWTGATATATTTCTCCAACCTGTGGAAACACGTTTTGTTCAAAACGATTCACAACGTTCCCAGCGGGTCTGTACCGAGCTACAACAAAAAGCCTGCCATCTGAAGTTTTCGCTTTACCGACCCCGATCTCGGTGGTGTTCTTCCAGACTATCTGGGTGAAGTGCCCCGCGTCACTTTGAAATCCTGGACGGTCAAATCTGTAGTTATCGATACCATCGTACCATTTCTTTACTACTTCATTCCCTTTTAAGTCTGTATTACCAATGTTTCCATACAAGTTTTCCCCGTCATCAGTGTCGCCATTACGTAAACAGTTTTCTTTCGCCAGCTTTTCGGCCCATGCCTCTGCGTCTTTAGCAAGGGCGCGGGACCATTTAACCGAGGAAACCTGGTGCATAGAGCGGAATTTGTTGTGTGCTTCAAGCGCATCTTTAGAAAAGGAATCAAGAAAAATGTTCATTTCTGAAATGACAATTAAAAAATGATTTCAATTTAGAGGTAATTATCAGTGTAAAATATGTTTTGATCCATATTGYATTAGACCAGAAGTACATGTACTTCTTGATCAGACCGCATTGTTATGAAACTCTTCAGTTATCAAAAATGAACTATAAGAACTTGCGCATATTTTKTCAAGAATAGATTGATTCACTGGCTTCTCTTTAATTTCTCGGCATTCAATACGCGGATTTCCAATCGTTATTAGTATTAATTTATAGTAGATTCGTCTCTCGAKGAAATAATGGATATTTCAGTTATCAATAATTTTCGTCATCAAAGAATTCTTATCAAACTTGGTTTAGTTCCCATAGAAATCAACCCATGTGACCTCAGGGTGGAGCCATTGAATACAACGAAAAAACACATTGCCGTTTTGAGGCCATAGAGAATTTTGTTTCAGCTATTAATCTTCCAGGGAAATCATTATTATGAGTAAYTAGTGATATTATACCATTTGATCTTGAAATAGAAAGTAAATACCTTTGCGTCAGCGTACACGAAGTGTTAGAAATATTTTAGTTATGCATCGTGAAATATCAAAAAGTACATAGCTTATTTTTTACACATCTAAAATATGTACACTATACACCCTTTTAATAAGTCCCGAGGTATTGTTTTTTCCGCACTTGACGTCAAATTTATTCTTTTTAAATTTTTACAATACAAAAGGAATTCAAAAGAATAAATTTGACGTCAAGTGCGGAGAACGTAATACCTCGGGACTTATTAAAAGGGTGTATAACAACCAAAATAAAACCAAACACACAAATGTAAATTAATAACATTCGAAATGAATGTTCTCAATATGTTAATTTAAAAAAAATGTAACTGTTCGTGCGCAAAATCACGATAATTAAAAATGTAAACTTATTTCCCTGCTTCTATACCTAACGTTTCTTTAATACCTTTTGTATCGCCAAGTTCATGGTCAATACTATTAGCCAAAACGTCACTCTAAAAGGTTGTTTATATGTATTTCTGACACTGATAATTAATTGTTTACCTAAAGCAAGTAAGATATATGTTAACATCTGGATTGCATCCGAGTAGTGGCCAGTTTTAGATACGAGTAAAAGTAACTTAGACATAACCGATTCGATGTTGTGTTTGCCTTTGTCTTTTTCAATCAATATTTTAACTTGAAGACGTGGGTGTGCTGTTCATAAAAATCGGACAACACAAGAATGTCATGCATGATAACCTCACGGAATATTGTCGTMAACTTTTTGTTTAATATATGTCATAAGTTTTCGTCAAAAGTAGAAAAACAGCAAAAGTAAAGTGAATTTTAAACGCTTTTTTTTACTAACGGAATATATTTCTAAAGAGAAGTATAGCTAGCTATATAACAGCAGCGCATTTAAATCAATTCATATTATGTTCTGAATTTCGAGAAACCACTGAACACTTTGCTCTCATTGTGTTTGTATTTTAAGAAATTATTTGAATTCCTTACAAGTTGTTTAATTTGAGAAAGRTTGGCAACCTGACAAGTATACACACCTGTAGTTATTTTTCTTTCATACATAAAGTTATCATAACTCCTGGTGATAGTCAGCTTCTTGTTTTTGTAATTGTTAACCTTCTTAACTGAACCATTCAACATTACTTTATTGGTGAGCTAGTATTTGTATAGGACAGACTATGGGCTTTCATTTCGACAATTCTTCTTGCATTATTTGCTTACTGCGATGTACGTTTGTGCCAAACCAGTTAAAAATTAGAATTGTGGTGCTGCTCTCGATGGTCTTCTTTTTAACAATAGTGTGCTACTACCAACCTGATCTATGTGTTTGCATTTCAAATCATTRTCACTTGATTCAGCTTACAGAATCTCTCTGCGATTTTAGTCTCATGAATCGATTAGTTAAATTTTGGTTAACAGTTTAAGGAGCTTATCACTAAATTTCATTGTGACTTTTTGTYATTGACTTTGTACATCTTATTTCAAACGGATTTCGTTTCAAGTTTAAGTAGCTCTATTCCAATACGCGTGTATGTGGACGTTTTCAGCAATACCTGAYTGTCATTAATCATATAAACATGACAAACGTAATTGTACTTTTAATATGTTTAAACTTAACTTGAGTTAAACTTTGTCGAGGAAAACTAACCTTCGTCTCAATATCAAAATCGTGTCACAGAATTTCAATCTTTGCAAGTTGTTCTAGTTGAAACTGGTGCACAAGAAGAGGCCTTTAGAGCACGAAGCGTGGCTTGAACTAATAATTATAGTGTGCGATGAAAAAGCATTGAATGCTTCTTCGCAATAAAAGTTTCAAACTTACTTGGTCAGTATCAAAGGGTTAGATGAATAATAGTGCCTCTCTCTTCCCAGTGATATGTTTAKGTAATTGGTGAGCCTGCCAGATGATTATGATAAGCAACGTTTGCTTGGGTGCTTCCCACTTAYTAAACTCAATCAGGCGAGGTACGACAGTGAGCATGAATAATGTATGGTTAGAAAAACAAGATGCGTCACAGGGCTCAGGATAATGTTTTATAAACATACATCTGTAAACTTCCGTCATAACAATTTCTGTTGGCATAACATTTCAATGTAAATACCTCATTGGATATCATGTGAAGTAGCAATACTTCGGCCCACAGTGTGGCTCTGTTTCTCATTACTTCAMTCAAAAACCATTCATGCTGCACACACTCATTCCTTAATCTAAGGCTGTCATTTTCCTTGCACTTAAGTAGTAAACAAAACCAAGTGCATAATCATATACACGATACATTTGTATTTTCTATGTTGTKTGGTTGCTGTTTTTTATTTTCCACTCTCTCCAAAATCATTAATTGTGTCCCATTATATCTCACCAAAAATGTGGCCCGTGAAGAAGTAGCTTTTTCTAGTGGTTCACCGTTTGTTCCCACGCTCTAACAAACATGGCTATACCTCAAAGACTAGACTTGGTAACATCGTTTGATTAGTACGTGCATATAGAAATTTGTCAGTTTATTTTAGACATGAATGTTGTGCACTTTTTCCGTTACACGAAATTCTATCGTCAATAMTTCAATTCAACATGTTGTATTATTTMATGTCTGGCGTATTTAAGACACAAAAAACATTTCTCTGAAAATGAGAAGCTGGACCTGAATTCAAGATATTGCTTGGTACTTTTGCACAAGACTGTTTTCATTATTACGGCAACGCTTAGATTGAGAAATATTGACTATTGTACAAATATTGACTGTATAGTGGTTACCCTATTAGTAAACATTATAGAGAAATACATAGTGTCATGCGGTCCTCATATTCATAACCTATTGGTAACCCTAGCTAATCGAATCCGYGTTCATCATGTTACTTAATCAGCCCGGTCAACCGGACCAGCCCACTTCATACAATCTGGGCCTAACTCATCTATTTTATTTTGCTCTCACTAATAATCGCATTACTTTCTATTAGGATGGTACGGTGCTCATTTTCCCAGTATACATTTGATTTTTCCAAAAAACCTAACGTTATTAGTCAAGCAATGGTGGTACTGTCTACATGTTTATTCTATCTACCCGCATGTGCCCGAGAGTTATGTAGCCACTGGGAAAAATCGCGCGCTTTAAAGGTTGTAAATTTGATGTAAATATTATGTAAGTGTCCAAAATGATGTAAATTTGATGTAAATTTACATCAAATTTAAGCATCAAATTTACATCATTTTGGACACTTACATAATATTTACATCAAATTTACAACCTTTTAAAGTGAACGATTTTTTCCAGTGAGATATGTTGATTGCATATTAAATGTAGCCGGTACCACATGACCAATGACGTCAGTAGTCGACAAACACGAGGACACTTGACTCAATGAAATGTCGGAAAACAATCGTTGAACTGATGATACTGCGTACCTTATCTGCAATTTAACATATACCCGATTATTATCATGCATCAGTTCTATAAAGATCCATTAAAGCGAAATGGCTATCGATGGGACTTCAAAATTGTTCTCCCATAATTCTTTGTACTTAATGTGAATATTTAGAATAAGTAGTGTTTAGGGAAAACGTTTAGTTCATAGTTCCTAATWACGTTGCCTGGAGGTCGGTACCGAGCCACCACTATGTGAAGCTCTCCGTCAGAGGTCTGTGCACAACCCATCCCAAACTCTTTGGATTCTTTCCATACCAACTGAGTGAAGTGGCCAGAACGAGGTTGGTAACCAGGGCGGCTGAAGTCATAGTTACGTATTTCTTCGTACCACATGTCCACTGCCTTTTTGGCAGCGTTTTCGAAATTTCCGGGGAACATTGCAAGGTTCTCTCCGTCCGCGCCTCTTTCTCGTGATGAGTGTTTTAGWGTACGTTCACGTGCCAATTTTTCAGCCCAGGCTTGCGCGGAACTGGCTATCTCTGGAGACCACATAAGGTTGGGWGCACCATGCAGGGCTCGATAGACGTTGTGACACTCAAGGCCTTGTTGTGAGAAGTGATCCAGCATAGGAAAAGTATGACGTGTCTGAACGTCACGTTTACCATGGTGACTATCTGTGGTATCTGTACAGTTATAAACAACTTTGTTAAGATTGGCGATGTCATATGACGTCATCACTATATCTAAATACAAATTATTGAAGATTATCGTACCATAGTCGTCGTAACGCTTTTTGACCTCGGGAACAATTTGAGCTGCAATGAGGTAGTATGAATGTAAATTTAAAAATATGTCTATGTATTAGTCCGATAGCCGTATATAAAGTACTTAGGTTGTGCTTTCTATCGTATCGATCCTGAGATGTTACATTATGACGGTGGCTCTATTAATGAACAGTTACAATCGCATAAGTGCGCTTACCCTCTCTTATTGGACGTCGGCTGTTTTCCCCATTACGCCAATGAAAGTCTATCAGAAAATATGTTAGTAGGAATTGAGGTTATAAAGACKCACATTTTCCGACCTTCATTTATTCAGTCAATATTCTCTCGAATATGACAAATTTTATGTTCTATCTTATGGTTTCCGTTTCCTCTGCGTTTTCCCTTTGTCATGCGTTCCCAGCATCCCTTGCAGCATTTTTTCCCTGCATCATTGACATTACCTTGTGATTTTGGCCTTGATTTCATTTGAATAGCATGTTGCTCGGTGACAGCTAAARAAATAAGACCATCTGTCAATCAATGGGTTGAAAATGAGTAAAATTGTCAAATATTKTTGATTCTACCTTCTTTAACAGGCTGGTATTCCTTCCAGGATCGTGAACTGGGTCGAGTATGTCTCAAATCTAAACAAAATGAGAATGAGAGTTGTAGTCATAATAACTTTATTCACTGGGGTGTTTATTACCTTCTGTTGATTTGGATCTTGTTTTATTTCCAGGCCGGTAATTTTCTGTAAGATTAATTTGACCATAGTGTAAGAAATATGCTGAAGCTTTTTTTTGTGACGATTTAAGGTAGTCAGAAGTATTGAAAGCTTGTCATACTAACCATTTCCTTTTAGGACAATGGTAATAGAAGACACCACTGTCTTCCTAGGACCTTCATCTATGGTAGTAGTGATCTGAAAACAGTTAACATTGTTAGCTTCTCTGATTATAGAACATTGTACAACAACATAATATTACGTTAAGAGATGATACGTTAATTGATAATGCAACGTAAAGCGCTGACCTTTCTTAATGGTCAATGGTCAGTCTTCACTTTCTTAAAGCAATGACTAACCTTTCTTTGTCTTGGCTCGTTAAAAGACCGATTATTGTCCWCTTTGTCTTCATTAAATCGACTGCTATCCCAACTAACAGGGCGTGGTTTATTATCGTTGAGTGGCCTATCTCCCCATAATGGGTCCCATCGCTCGCTATAAACCTGATTTGAAAGGMTAGGCTTGATGGTTTTAGTCTGTGTCGTCGGTCGAGGATATTGGAATGGCAAATTAGGTTGATTGAAGTTTTTCTCTTCCCATCGTTTAATGGATTCACTGGTTCTGTTACGACCAACTTTTACGTYGGGTCGACCGTCAACCTCATTGTCATTGTTAATTGACTCCCATTTTTCCGTGGATAACCGCACTTTGTTGACAGATTTATTACGGTCAACTGAATCTCTATAGTAACCTACAATAGAATGATGGAATGATTAACTGTCAATCAATATCACTCTTTAGCCCTAAACTAAATGCTATAAAAAATGCAATAAAAACCTTTTCGACCTTTCCATGGATGTGTCTTCTGAGACTCTTTCGGTATTTTGGTCTCTTTCCCTTCAGGCTGCCAACGTGCTGTAATCGCAGGGGATGTGTACTTCTGGACGTCCTTCGTGATATTCTTGTCTTGGAAGATATTTTTCTCTGTGGAAGAATGCTGTGCAGAATTTACTGAAGGCTCTATAACGTCATCATCAAACCACTTTCCAGAATCCCATTTATGGTCTATAAACTTGTTATGTCCACCTTTATTTGACTTTTTCTGGGTGCAATTTTCCCTTGGTTCACATTGCTCAGGAGCCATTCTAGCCTGATCTCGATACGATTTCTTATGATATCCTTCCAGAACACTTTTGGGGGAGTCACAATTTCCAGAAAATACKGGATCCCATCTATCGTGGTTTTTCCATTGCTGATTACTGATTAAGTGRTCGGAATAATTATTACAAACAGCATCTCGCTTGGTATWGTTTGACGCATCACCATTAAGATTTGGGTGATCCCATCCTGTAGAATTATGAATTCTCATGTGTTTCTGAATAGGAAAATCAGATGAACAGATATAAGTGCAAACAAAATTACTGTGACAAAGTACATCATTTGCAGACGAAAAATAACAAAATTGCTATATAAAGCGGCAGATGACTCATAAAACACGATAAAGGTATAAGGAAAATTTCATTACTTGTGCTGGAAGGACGTTCTCTTCAAACGTTCTCAAGTTGTTTCCTGGTGGCCTATATCGAGCAACTACAAATACTTTCCCATCATAGCCCTGGGCCTTTCCCACACCAATTTCTTTGCTTCCACGCCAAACAATCTGCGTAAAATGTCCCGTGTTACTTTGAAAACCAGGCCGACTAAAGCTGTATTCCTTAACCTCCTGGTACCACTTATCCACCGCAACATTTCCCGTGACTTTAACATCACCAAATGACATGTAAATGTTTTCTCCGTCGTCTGTATTCGCGTGCTTCAAACGATCCTCGTGTGCCAGATACTCAGCCCATGCCTGCGCTTCTCTAGCTAGACTGGAATTCCATGTCAGTGGGGTAGCATGGTGACTAGCGCGGTATCTGTTATGAGCAGCTAATGATTCTTTTTCAAACTGGTTCATGGCTGTAAGTTAAATGAAAAGCTATCTTAGAAACCCTAGTTTATTCAAAAACCGAAATGCTTTTTGGTCACTCTACCTCCTTTTAAAAGGATTGTTCATGGTTTCATAGTGACTCTTCCAACTGAGTACAGTCAAGAACTTTGCTCGGGAGAGCAAYTAGGCTTAAATTGTTATTTTGTAATTAAACTTATGTGAATTTTAATAGAATCAATGCATTGCGGTCTTGGAATGCAACGTTTTCTGAAATAGCTGTTAACTGTGAAATATTAGAAACAAAAATATCAATAGCTAAAGAAAGTATTTGATAAGTTTATCATTTGTATATATTCATATTTGATATTTTATTTGTACAATGCAGATTGTCTGCATATAAAATGCTGAACTTTGATTCCTATTTTGTAAAAAAAACACATTCAGAAGTGTTAATATTCAGTAAGACTGATTTGAAATACGGATTGCTGCACGATTTTCCCTTAACCTTTTCAGYCATTCTAGTGTCTTATACTTACTTTATGAATGAAGCAGATCATGTCAGCTGATACTTTATTTGACGGACAAAGAGAGTCATTATTTCAATAGAATAAAACAACGCTACAGACTCTATTCATATAAAGCAACTTGTTGCCTAGAAACACTTCCACGCTCTTGATGTATTCATCTACCAGCTGCCTCAGTGKCCCAAGATTTGAATAAATTGATTCAAAAACATTTAACGTTTGAGCAAGAAATTTTTTTATCGCATTTTGTGTCCGCCATTAGGAATTTTATATATGATAAATACGAGCAAAATATTAAGTTCTGCCACGTACCATTGAGTTGAATAACGCATATTTTTTTCCCATAAATTCGCAAATCAACATGATGAGTGTCTGGGTACAAACAGGGAATTCACTAAGACAAATTCACATTTGTTTGATTTACAACCTCGGCCACAACCTATTAGTATGTAACGTTACAATTCTTTGTACATCGAATTGAAGGGTTTTTAGTTTTCATTTATAGAATTTCAACGTTTTTTTTAATTATAACACCGACGAAGAAGTCCATACTTTTTACAAGAAAAGTCGCAGTGTTTTACCTCTATTATAGCTGCAAGATTTAAACGTCAAAATCGCCGATCTTTTACYCCTCGAAGGTCCCTTAGTCAAACGAGAACATATACTTATTAGAGTTATTACAGTGMGATATAAYCCTCTCAAACGGCTGCGATGTCACTGATGCAAAAATTGGGTTACTCTGCCACCATTTTCATGTCCTCACTCGAGCGAGCACTTCTTGATAACCGCTGACTGTACCTTAGGCAAAGGTTTATAAACGGATTTTTCACAATTTATGCTAACAGACTAGAAGTTTTTGTTGAGATATCTTGATGCAGAGCTAGCTATTATCAAAACTATGATATATTTAGAGAACTCTCATCGTCAGTATTGGTAAAGATCAAGAAATCAAGTCGCTGTTCAGTCATCGTAATCGAAGACTATTACGATATATTTAGATTACTAAGTTTGTGGAGTTATATAACCGCAAATACAGTACATTTAAAGTAATTTGATACATCTTTCAAATTCTGCTACAACGACAAAAGTTTTAGAGACAAATGTATCTGCATTTGGTTACCTCTATTCCTGTCTTTTTCGTTCTTCAAATTTCAATTTCTTTTCCTTCCTTCTTATTCTTGTTGTTTAGTATTGTTGGCGTTCCGCAAGTAAGCGCAACAGACAATGTGCCCAAACACAAAATTGTTTTTTTTAGGCAAATAGAGAGGGTGTACGATAAAACCGTATTTCAATACAGTTGTCATGTGTGCATACATTATTTAAGACCCAGCATCCAGTTCGGACCACCATTGTCACGCAAACCGAGACTGACATCATATCTAGTATTTACATAATCTTTTGAACAATGAAATCATATCATTTTAGGTGAAATATTTTAGTGTTGTGACGTGCTAGTAGGTGTGACAATCTATAAGCAACTTTTGTTTATGATTTAGACGCCAATGGTAAATATTTCAAAAGTATTGTCTTTTGATATAATTCCTTTATTAGCTTAAAGAAGTGTTAGTAAGAATTTAAGAACTTCTAAGAATAATAATGATAATATATATATCGCATGCACGGAAAGACAGATTACTYCTATAAATGTGCACTATGAATACAGTATCGGAAAGTGTTAATTTTGTGGTTTTATTTGTTAYGAACGAAGAATGAAATGAAATGCAGTATAAACTAACGTTAGCTTTTAATGAATAACACGCTGATTACAATTCAGTTTTTTGAACTCTTTTGCTATTTTCATGCATGTCTACACTTTTTTTCAAGATTTATACATAATATGTCTCTATGAATGACGTTATTGTAAGTTTGCTTTGAATGTTCTCAATCAGCAATTACGTTATCTTCAAATCTGTTCAGTATATTTCCAGGGGGGTCGTAACGAGCAACCAGGTAAGTTAACTTGCCATCTGGGCTTTTTGCCATWCCAACACCAACTTCTCGTGTACCCCTCCACACGATCTGTGTGAAATGCCCCGTATTAATGTCAAATCCAGGCTTCTCGTAGTCGTARTTACCCTTTTCTGAGTACCATATTCGTAAAGCGTCTTCAATGCTGAAATGACTGGACATTCTACAGATRTTTTCACCCTTATAATAACGCTCTTCTCGACTTGCATGTACAAGGCGTTGCTCGTGGGAAATCTTCTCGGCCCAGGCTTGCGCGGCTTTTGCTAGACTTTGTGACCATTTGATGGGAGCAGCACCATGCATTACACGGTACTGGTTGTGTGTTTGCACGATATGGGATATTAATTTATCTGAAAGAAACGAAATATATATGAAAAGCCTTGTGAAACTATAAGTAGTGAGATGSCAGCTTCTTTTCAGTCAAGAGTTGGTCGCGTCAGTTCACTTGGGGTAATCACGTCATCACGGAGACATTTAATTCTTACCATCCAACAAATAAGTATGACGAGGGTTTCGTAGTGTTCACATGAACTGGAGCCATTTCTGAAAACGACAATAGAAAATAATTCGGCACATTTGCATCATATTCTAGATATAAGAATGTTGAAGTACCAGAACCACCCTGAATATCTGTCCATTGTAGATGAAAAAATATTTATCCTGTGCTATTGGCCTCTATGACCTGTATGTATTGTCGTTAATCCACGGTATAACAGCAAGCTTCAGCAATTTTTATTATTAATACCTTGCTTTCCCTTTGCACATTGATTACTTTCTCCAGGCGTCCTTTCACTTTCCTGCTTTTCTTTAGAAATATTTTTCTTGTTRTTCGTGTCTGGTGAAGATTCTCCTGAGGATACCTGGGAGACAATTTTTATAGGCCATTAGCACCTMTTAGAATTTTTGCCAATGTTGACATGCAAATCAACATGTCATTGGGCATCGRTTATACAACCAATAACAGTCCGTGCTTCAACATTGAGCATAAGTCGCAATTCCTATAAAATGAACCATGGAGCGCTCATCGATTTGCAATCATTTTCAACATATCGAGCATTTACGTTACCTTTGGAAGAACGTTTTCATCGAATTCATTCATCATGTTTCCTCCTGGTTTGTATCGTGCTACGACGTAAACACAGCCATTCTTTGCCTTGGAACGAGCCATTCCCAGTTCACTAGAGCTTTTCCACACAACTTGCGTGAAATGGCCTGTGTTGGGCTGGTAKCCTCCTTTCTTGAAATTATAACTTAAAAGTACATATTAATAATCACCATCGACCATGTCCACAAACGTCTGATAATCTTTGCGTAAAAAACAGTYTACAGTCCCCATGCGACATCTTGAGGGTAACTGTACCTCTACGAGACGAATCGTGAATGTGCACTGGGTAAACCTTACATGATACATTTA